TTTAAAACTTTTATTAAAAATCATTTAGAAAAAACAAAATTTATTTGTACTATTAAATTATTTTTTTAAGATAAACTTCAAAATTACATGATTATATAGGCAAAATGATTTGAAATCTAAAAGAGTTTATATAAAAAAGGTTAGAATAAATAAAATATAAAGAAAAAACAAATATGAAATATAAAAATATTAATTTTTTTTATTAATTATAAATAATATGCTTTTTTTACTTAAATACAAATTTATTTTTATAATAAATTAAATACATGTAAACTTCTATTACATATAATTATTTTTTAATCAAATTTAATACAGTCATGTGATTAGGGTATACAATAAATAATACAAATAATATTTATACTATTGTAGAAAAAATGGATAGGCTTAATATGATGCAGTAACTTTATGAATTTATTATGCATCAGTAATAGGTACAAGCGTCTATTTGAGTATGGTGAGATTTGCATAGTGTGATTTTAGTAGTTGGGATGCATAGTACTAGTATAAATATTATAGGTGTGGCTTAGAGAAACAGTCTGTATCAAATTGTAACGGATCAGAGTATCTTTTAACAATTGTAATAAAAACCTTTTTTTAATTAATAAAATACTTGTCTTAAAAAGAAATCAATGCTTTCAAGTAGAATCCAGTAAGGCTGATAGAAGAACCGTGACATGGATTAGAGACGTGCCTGGTTTAAGAAGGACATGTTATTAATAAAGGGACCACTGGCCAAATTGTAACATGCCTCAAGCATGAAGACTTACCGTAACCCAATCATTACATAAGTGCTGATCCTGGGTTAGACTTTCCGGGAATAATGAGAACAATACTTTTAAAATGTATTTTATTAAAAGTCATTATCATTTTTATACATGTTTGATCATTGCATGCGTTATTGTGCTCTAATTTTTTTTATCCTACAACCACACAATTACGTGATGCGATGCAGTGTCATATTACTGCATCCTAAATTTGCCCACAAATATGAATGTAACTTTTATAATGGGATTAACCTTCATTGATTTCATAAGATCAGACCCTATAATAGTCTATCAAATTAATAATCAGATAAAAATATGTAGTACTTATTATATTCAATATGGATCTTCCTGTAACAAAACAAAATACTGCATGTATAATAAAGGATATAAAAATTTAAGTGATAAAGGAAATCCTTGGTCAAATAAAAACCACATCATCTGTGGTTTAATAAAAAAACTATAATAATAACCATGAGAATCTCTGCTATTATTAGCGACAGACTCCCCATTTACCCATTGCAATACATGTATATTAAATTGAATTGATTATTTCCCTTTTCTTTAATAAGATCATAAGAATAACGAATTTCATTTTATAATGACGAGCATGTTTAAAATGATTTGTTGATATTATAACAATAACATGCGACTTACTAACCTATTTGCAAGTGCTATTTGAATTTTACATGGTTTTGTTTCTCATAAACATTACATCAAGGATATCATGACAATAATTTAACTTTCTTAGCTGAGACTTTCTAGTGTATTCTTTAAAATTAGTTTCTTGACGATTAGTCTATACCCTCGAGACACCTCTATGGCTAATGACTAAGTGTATGATTATTATTTAAGCTCCGAATATAAACAAAAACGTAAAAATTTTGATCACCAAGAACACATTAATTAGTTGCCGCATGTTATTGTATTTAAGCTTTAAGGAATCAAATGGGAAATAATATGTTTTACAGTATATCAACTTTGATCCTCAGCTACCCATAAAATGCTTTAATATACAAAATATTGTAAAAAAAAAGAAAAATTGATAATTTCTAAAATTCTTCATATCTCCAAACAATAATTAAATATAGATAATTCATTACTATAAGCTATCTTATTTATTGGTTCGTTAATACTTAAGGTATATATAACTTTGTCGAAACTTTCCAGCTTCTGCCAGTGCTTTCACTCCAGATTTTCCTATTTCGTTATTATACAAATTCAATTCAGTCAGGGTAGTATTCTTGCGTAGAGCCGCAGCCAGTGCTTTTCCTGTCGATTCTCCTAAATAATTACTTTGCAAATTCAAATTGGTCAGGCTGGTATTCTCGCATAGAGCCTCAGCCAGTGCTTTTCCTGCTGAATCTCCTAAATAATTATTTTGCAAATTTAAATTAGTCAGAGTAGTATTCTTGCATAGACCTTCAGCTAGAGCTTTTCCTGCCAATCCTCCTAAATTATTACTTTGCAAATTCAAATTAGTCAATGTGGTATTTTTGCACAGAGCCCCGGCCAGTGCTTCTCCTGCCGATTCTCCTATTTTGTTATCACATAAATCCAAATTAGTCAAGGTGGTATTCTTATATAAAGCCTTAGCCAGTGCTTTTCCTGCCGATTCTCCTAAATTATTATTTTGCAAATTCAAATTAGTCAAAGTAGTATTCTTGCATAAAGCCTCAGCCAGTGCTATTCCTGCCGAAACTCCTATTTTGTTACATCTTATATTTAATACTTTCAGGGTGGTATTCTTGCATAGAGCCTCAGCTAGTGCTTTTCCTGCTGAATCTTCTATTTCGTTACTATACAAATTCAAATAAGTTAGGGTGGTATTCTTGTATAGAGCCTCCGCCAGTGATTTTCCTGCCGATTCTCCTAAATAATTACTTTGCAAATTCAAATTAGTCAGGCTGGTATTCTCGCATAGAGCCTCAGCCAGTGCTTTTCCTGCTGAATCTCCTAAATTATTATTTTGCAAATTCAAATTAGTCAGGCTGGTATTCTCGCATAGAGCCTCAGCCAGTGCTTTTCCTGCTGAATCTCCTAAATTATTATTTTGCAAATTTAAATTAGTCAGAGTAGTATTCTTGCATAGACCTTCAGCTAGAGCTTTTCCTGCCAATCCTCCTAAATTACTACTTTGCAAATTCAAATTAGTCAGGGAGGTATTCTTGCATAGAGCCTCAGCCAGTGCTTTTCCTGTCGATTCTCCTAAATTATTACTTTGCAAATTCAGATTAGTTAGGGTGGTATTCTTGCATAGAGCCTCGGCTAGTGCTTTTCCTGCCAATTCTCCTATACTATTCGAACTTATATCTAACTCGATCAAGGAGGTATTCTTGCATAGAGCCTCAGCCAGTGCCTTTCCTGCTGACTCTCCTATTCTGTTACCATACAAATTTAAACTAGTCAGGATGAAATTCTTGCATAGCGCCTTAGCCAATGCTTTTACTGTCGATTCTCTTAATATATTAAGTCCCAAATTCAAATTAGTCAGTGTGGTATTCTTGCATAGAGCCTCAGCCAGTGCTTTTCCTGCCGAATCTCCTAATTCATTATTTTGCAAATTCAAAATAGCAAGAGTGGTATTCTTACATAGAGCCTTAGCCAGTGCTTTTCCTGCCGATTCTCCTAAATTATTACTTTTCAAATTCAAATTAGTCAAGGTGGTATTTTTGAATAGAGCCTTAGCCAGTGCACTTCCTGCCGATTCTCCTATTTTGTTATCACATAAATTCAAATTAGCTAGGGCAGTATTTTTGCATAGAGCCTCAGCTAGTGCTTTTCCTGCCGATTCTCTTATTTTGCTATCACATAAATTCAAATTAGTCAAGGTGGTGTTCTTGTATAGAGCCTGAGCTAGTGCTTTTCCTGTTGTTTCTCCTAAATCATTACCTTGTAAATTCAAATTAGCTAGGGCGGTATTTTTGCATAGAGCCTCAGCTAGTGCTTTTCCTGCCGATTCTCCTATTTTGCTATCACATAAATTCAAATTAGTCAAGGTGATATTCTTGCATAGAGCCTGAGCTAGTGCTTTTCCTGTCGTTTCTCCTAAATAATTACCTTGTAAATTCAAATTAGCTAGGGTGGTATTTTTGCATAAAGCCTCGGCTAGGGCTTTTCCTGCCGATTCTCTTAAATAGTTAGAACACAAATTCAAATTATTCAGGGTCGTATTCTTGCATAGAGCCTCAGCCAGTGCTTTTCCTGCCGATTCTCCTATTTTGTTATTATCCAAATTGAAATTAGCCAGGGTGGTATTCTTGCATAGAGCCCCAGCCAGTACTTTTCCTGCTGAATCTCCTATATTGTTATATCCTATATTTAATACTGTCAGGGTGGTATTCTTGTATAGAGCCTCAGCCAATGCTTTTCCTGCCGATTCTCCTAAATTATTACTTTGCAAATTCAAATTAGTCAGGGTAGTATTCTTGCATAGAGCCTCGGCTAGTGCTTTTCCTGCCAATTCTCCTATACTATTCCAACTTATATCTAACTCGATCAAGGAGGTATTCTTGCATAGAGCCTCAGCCAGTGATTTTCCTGCGAATTCTCCAAAATTATTACTTCGCAAATACAAATTAGTCAGGGTGGTATTCTTGCATAGAGTCTCAGCCAGTGCTTTTCTTGCTGATTCTCGCATATTGTTATTATTCAAATTCAAATTAGTCAAGGTGGTATTCTCGCATAGAGCCTCAGCCAGTGCTTTTCCTGCCGATTCTCCTATTTTGCTATTATCCAAATTCAAATTAGTCAAGGTGGTATTCTTGCATAAAGCCTTAGCCAGTGCTTTTCCTGCCAATTCTCCTATTTTGTTATCACATAAATTCAAATTAGTCAGGGTGATATTCTTGCATAGAGCCTCAGCCAAAGCTTTTCCTGCTGATTCTCCTAAATTATTACTTTGCAAATTCAAATTAGTCAGGGTGGTATTCTTGCATAGAGCCTCGGCCAGGGCTTTTCCTGTCGATTCTCCTATATTGTTATCAGCTATATTCAAGTTAGTTAGTGTAGTATTTTCGCTTAGTGCCTCGGCCAGTACCTTTACAGTAGATTCACTCATTTTACTATTGAGTAAATTTAATTCTGTAATTTTGTTATTTTTGATTAATGTTTCAATTAGCTTTTTTCCTACTGAACAATTTGAAAAATTCCCTTTTGATCCATTTTCAAGGCCTCCCGGTGTATGCAAAAAATTATTGAGAATGAACTTGTAAAGCTCTATTGACTTTATAAAATTTCCTATTCTGAACCGTTCTTTGGCCTCATTCCGCAACTTTTGAAGAGTAGTATCTGAATATATACTGTTGCACACTTGTATATCCCCTTGTCTAGTGTCTAATACTGCACAGCTTATATCTATTGTTGAACATATACTTTCATCTATCGTTGAATATGTACTTTTGTTAATTTGGATATCCTTTTGTCTAGTGTCTAATACCACACAGCTTTCATCTATCATTGACATTGAATCTTTTGAATAAGAATTGGTAATAGAACGATCTTGACTTAATAATTTTTCGCTATTATCGCCGTAAACTTTTAAAAAGTAAGGGTCTGTTAAAATAGAAACTATTTCTTCTATATTTGGTCGTTCATCTGGAGTTATATTTTGGCATCTTTTATACAATTCAATAAAATTTCTGGGAGTACCTTCAATTGGATTGAGTGGTAGAAGATATGGGTTGAAAAATTGACTTGGAATTTTGCAACTAGATACTTCCCATAAAATGATTCCATAGCTGAAAATATCCGATTTTTTGTTTCTCTTAAATCCATACGTAAGAAAGCACTGTGGATCAATATATCCTGGCATTCCTTTAACATTCGAATTAGATGTCATTGTACTTTCATCTAAACATTTGGAAAGACCAAAATCTGCTATCATCATTCTATTATTATGTACTAAAACATTCTTTGAATGCTTAAATAGTGAATCCAAAATTAATATATGAACCAATCGAACAAATTAACTATTAATGCATAAGATAATTACCAGGTCTCTATGTATAATATTTTTTGAATGCAAGTAGCGAATTCCTTCCGCAATATCTAAAGATATTTGTCGCTTATCTTCCCATCCAAGTGAATCCTTATGACTCGCCAAATGGTTACGAAGATTTCCTTTATTCGCATATTGTAATACAAGCATATACATTTTCCTTTCTGGATCTGAAATAAATCTTATTAAAACCTATGTATAAAATACAAGTTCAATAATAAAAGTTACAAACCTCTTCTTGTTATACCATAAAATTTATTAACGTTTGGATGATTTAGGTCAGTAAGTAACTTTGTCTAATAAAATCATTATTTCAATTTAAAATGTCTTTAAAGAACCATTATTCAGTTTTTCTTAATTACCTCACGTAGAAATTCCTGAAAAGATATTTCATTTAGTTGCGATACATCAGTTCTTAGACTTTTTAATGCAACCTTTCTTTCTAATAATTCTGACTCTGCGCACTCTACGATAGCAAACCCTCCCCTTCCGGCTTCTTTCACAATAGAAAATTGTGTATAATCGAAAGAGTTGATGTGACCCTCTTTTATTGCATCTTCTAACCATCCAAAATGATCGATACGTCCTATTTTTTATTTAAGGAATCTTGTTTATATATAATTATTTACACAGAATATCCAATTCAATTACCTGACATTTTGATATTTGATTCAATTATTAACGTAAGCGTTAAGCTTATGTACGAAATTGAAATTTTATTTCAGAAACCCAAATTCACAGTGACTACTGTATGCTATAGCGATTTAAAGATCAATAAGATTTGATACTACTGTATTCAGTATATATACCGTTTTTAAATGGCATGCATTTGTGCAACGTAAATACAGCTGCATTTTCGAGTGAAATTACGGATTACACGTACATTAGAAGAAAAAATTTAGAAATCGCAACTACTTACATGAATCGTAATCAAAATTTTTAAAAAGTACAAGTTCAAATCTCGGATTATCTCAAATTTTAATATCAAAATTTAATATTTAAACAATAAATTAACAAGAGGAAAGTTTGAATATGGAATTTAGATCTCGGATTTGCATCTCGGAGATTTCAGAAATTTAAACAAAGTACAGTTCTGTAAATCAATCAATTAATTAATTATTAAAAAATATAAATTTAAAATTAAAGGTTTAAAAAATAATATTTAGATAATAAATAAATATAACCAAAGTTTTTATTGAAATGGATTTATATGTATCTATATTTATTTAATTTCTTTTTTTTAAAAAGTCAATTACTGTATTATCTTTTCCCTTGCGTCATGGTTGATCCCTCTACTGTATACAGTAACAATATGCCCTTACCAGAAAATGGCTGCGGCCCTTTACACATACATTTTCTAGCGGTCTACAGAGCTCTAAAAAATTACTGTAATTATTACACAATCTGTAGGTCGTTCACATGACTTCTTAATACAAAAGCCTCTACTTGTTAGATCTTGTTTCAGTATTCGAGGTCATAAATTCGCGAACGAGAGTATATCATCCTTTCTAATCGGAAGGTTTTCTAATTTACTAATTGATAAGTTAAATAAATAATATATATATACTGCATATATATTTGTAGTATCAGTATACACTTTAAAATTTCGAATGCTACATGAAAGAAATTAATCAACAAGAACCAGTCCTGGTCACATTTTTTATAATCTTGCAGTATCTTTTTTTAAACGTGATCATGGGATTTAATATTTAAAATAATGAATAAATAAATAAAGCGCAACAAAAATTCATTAAGTTTATTTGAACAAAAAAATCTCTTTATTATCCATGAAAGCTACTGTATATGTGTGTTATTAATACAACGTTACAATTATTTTTTTACGCATAGCTATAGCACAAACTAATAACTAACTACATATAAGTGCCATAATTCACCTTAGAGATTAATAGAACTAACTTGTGGATTTCAGGATTTCGATGATCACGTCGATTAGATCCCATTGTTAATAATAAGGGAAGAATAGAAAAGATAACACGAGGCATCGTCACTCATGAGTATCTGAAAATTCCTTTAGGCGAATTAAAGACTAATTGAGTTTCTATTTCTTAATTAAAAAACAGAATTAGAATTTGCGATATTCATCTTCCCATCATCGAAATCGTCAAATTTATTCCGTGTCTTTTCACAAGAAATAAACGTATTATTTTTGCAAATGTTATTTTCCAGCTTCTTTAATAGATGCGTAATCAAGTATTCCAGACATCTTAAAGGTGATACGCAATGTTAATAATATAACCGGACATCAAATAACAAGTACAGTAATAAGTGATTTAATAAAACATACCTTAAAAGAATCATCCACACTGCTTACACTGTATCGACCGATGCTATGCCTTCCGAAACTATTATTCGTGAACTTGATTCCTTTCTGTTGAAGCTCAACCCCTCGTTTAAATATTTTCTCTCCACCAACGCCGAATACTTCGATCTCAGCTACTTTAAAAGGGATATCAAAAAATGTTCTTGTCTCTGGTGGATCGTACGCTGGTTTTCGTTCTCGCAATGGGTCGAACCGGTATCGACCATACTGAAGGGTGCTGTCGAGTTGCAAGACGAACGAATTGGTGTCCGATGACTCATTTTTGTTTGAACCCATTCCGGGACCACCAAAGCCAATTCCAACTGATGTGTTATAGTAAACGAAATTTCTACCCTTTTTCGATGCAGGAAATAATTCGAATGATGGAGACAACTCAAATAACGCACATTCATCAGAGCCAAATGTAGATTTCGGTGAATTTGGCGAAATCCACGGATCCGCTACATAGGCCCCTAGTAAAAGTTCTTCTGGTAATTCGCATGAACTTGATTTTGAATGACTACTATAACTTCTTCCGTAACTATTACTAGTAAAACTTCGACCTAAGCTACCATATATACCTGCTAATGAACTTTGCGGTGAATAGCTATCTGATAATGGAATTTGCAGTGATGATTTGTTATCCATCAACGTTTCCGCATAGATAAACATTAAAATTGGCCCTTGATACTTATGCACAGAACTTGAGAAGCTATTCATATTAAAACCGTTCATATATCCGCTATACAATCGTTTCCACTCGCGGAGTTTTATGATTTCGTTTGGCAACATCCATGACAGTATCGCCATCTTTATGGGACTCAGTATATCCGACTCATAATCTAACAACGGCCAATACTGAACCGGTGGACCAAAGAACATGGACTCCTGACGTTTTTGTGACATTATTTGTCCTATAAGAAATTGACCTTCCATATATGAAGAAAGCGCACAAAAAATATTTGGCGTATTGCGTTGGAAAAATTTTTGAAATGTTGTCCACGTGATCGAGGATGAAAGGTTGCGCACGTCCGTATCGTATCTTGCCATTTGTTCTACCACAGGAGTGATTTCTTCACGTATTTGATTTATGTTTCTCGAGGATATTAAGGTCGCATGTTTTACTTGTATTTCTTTATATTCTTTGCCCACCGGAGTCATTTCAGTTGTCATAATCCACGCGATGGCTGTTAATAAATTTAACATGCTACGACAATCGACTCTAGTCACATTCGGATCGTGCTCAGGCCTTCGTCCCACGAAATCTCCAAAGGGCACCTTTTTGTCGTCATCATTAGCACACGTTGAAAAAGAGTCAAATAGTAATTTTATGCGGTTCTCTTGAGTCATGTCCTCGATTTTACCACAATATATGGCGATGGCCTGAATAAAACCATCGTAAGAAAGAGCGTCATGCGAGTAACCCACAGATGGATATTTAGAGAGATAACAGAAGGAACGATATATGAGCGATCCAGCACCTATTTCTTCTGGAATCTTCAAATACCTCTGTTATAAAAATGAGAAAAATCATTGGTTCGAAAAGATTGAAACGATATCAGTTCGATGCTTCTATAAAACAAGTTCAATGTAAAATGATTTAATCTGCATACCAAAAACAATTTCTCATCAACAACTATGTTCCCGTCTTCATCGACAAAACTAAGTTCACTGAAAGATGTCTTTAACGAAATTAGATCAATCTCGCTGAAATCCTTTTTATTCAGTTCGGTTGACGTTTTATTGTCAACGGAACTGTCTCGTTTCGATTCGTTACTCGGATTCTGACCCATTCTTTTTAAGGTAATACTAAACGATTTTTTCTTCGGTAATTTTGAGAAATAATTACATAGTATGTTTTTATAAGAAGAATTAACAATTTGGTTTTTCTTAAAAAAAAGAGAGACGGAGTTTCAAGTATTTATAGAAGGATAATTGGCTGCGCGTTTATTATACATCATAGTATGTACTGTACAATGAAATTTAAAAAATTTTGTTTCCTGAAGTACGCACTATACTGTATTATCGGAAAATGCGGCGCGCAATCACAGGTCATATACTGTACTGTAAATGAGAATCAAAAAAAGGGATTGTGCGATGGCAGGTGACATAGTATTCGGTTTCCTAACAAAGATTCTTCGCAAACTTAATTCCGTTATCCTAACTGACCATTCGCAGTAAAATTCGAATCACCTCTTTTTGCGGATGATCGGCTACACAAAATTCATGTAGTGGATTTTGTCTGATGAGTTTTTTTTCACACCGATAAATGCAAATTCCATTAAGGTCATCGGACATAACAATTGCATCATCAGACAAGAAAACGTGTAAACAAAAGTTTTTTTTTTGGAACACAAAAAAATTGTGTAAAGAAGTCAACCGTTATGCGCCATATAGGTCATTTACATTTCACGTGCGTTATACAAAAATATATTTTGTGTTGCCTTTATGGTTCTTTTGTCACGAAGAGAAATCGATACTGTAAGCATCGGTCAAAACAATGGTTCTGCATTGATGCAAACAACCAATAACAATCTCACTCTCAGAACAATTCGGATACAAATATGTATGCTGAATATGCACATTTTTGACGTTGGAAAGTCACAAGATCTAGTTCATGCGAATTACCAGAAGAACTTTTACTAGGG